CCCCAAAACCCCAAAACCCCGTGTGGCCAAAAAATCGTAATTATAGTTAAATTTCTAAGTTTAAGTTTAAATTTAAGTATTAATATTTTAGAAGATAAACATTAGTCTCATTTTTTATGGGTTGCTATATCTTCCTTAAGTAAGCCTTTCGTTTTGATTGCCGATTTATATGGGTTTGAATTTTAATCTTTTGATTACTGAGTTATTATAGATCCTTCTTTCATTTTAGCTTATATACTACCATCAAGAATTGTTTAACTATCTGAAGTTGATTTTTCTTCCTCTTCAATATTTCTTTTTTTACTGTCAGAACTATCCTAAATCTCCTCTTATTCATATTTTATCTATCTTTATTTCTTCTCTGGCGTCTTTTAGTTAGTCTTAATGAAGTTATTTCCATTAATAAGACTATCAGTTTAGCTTTTATCCTTTCCTCCAAAAATACCTTTTAATCTGTTCATAAATCCCTTCTTCTACAAATATAAGTCAGGTCTTTGCTACTTTGCCAATTCCATTATTTCTCTTTCAACCCAATGATGCCAGCAATGAAATGCTATTTTTTCAATTTTTACTTTTTTGTATAGCTTTTTCGCATTTACCTCTATTACATAATCTTGATGTTTTTCATTATGCAACATTTTTACTGACAACACAGTCTAATTCAAATAATAAAGGGGCAAAGCTTACCAATCTAAAGTACTCCTCTTCAGGATCTTTTCTTTCAGGTGCTTCAGTAATCATTGAATTAGTTATGCTTTTTTTCATTCCTTATCTCTCAATCTCATGATAATCGATAAGATCATCTAAATAAAATTGTGTTAATAAATTGGATCTAATTACAATCACCCTCAAAATCAGCAAGTTCATTATTGACCAATTCCAAATCATTAGTTTAGCATTCCTTATCTTATTTTGGGCCACTATGTGTAATGCCATCATTGTATGGTCTTTATCTAGGTTATCTATTATTACTATTTCTTTTCTCATTTGTGCCAGTATGGTCATAATTCTACTGATAATCCTCGTCGAATTGGTCATAAGTATTGTCACGTCTGAGCATAGGGTTGTTTCCATTTATGCTTTGCTGATCTATACTTTCATCGATTTGCGATGATTGTCCATTATTATGCAAATTAATACTGGTTCTTGGAGTTATCTGAGTACTTAATGCAAAACTCTACATAACTTCTTGAGTTTTGATATTGTTTTCAGTAATTACATATCTCTGAAGTTCCTTTTCTTTCTATTGAAGTTTAATTTTTAGACCCTCAATATTAATCTGTTGCTCCTCCAAATTTTTGTGAAATGAGAATTAATCTTATTCTCTTAATTACTGATAATCTGAAAGATCTTTAGCCATATTCTCAAGTTGCCTCATTAATTTTTATTTCTCACTCTCTAGTATATTCACATAATTTTGTAGTTTGGCTAATTCAGTTTCACTCTATTGTAATTACTTTTCAAAATCCTTCAATCTAATGTCAAAGATTATTTTCTCATTTGAAGCTGATTCAGTAAATGATTATCGATTTTTACTGAGTCTATCAGATAACTATAAACGCAAATTAAATTCTATTCATTAAATCATATGATTGTTAAGAATCTTTACCTTTTGCAGTCTCATAATCTCTTATTTTGATTTCTATAGATCTGTTTTGAGAGTGTTACTTTCTTCTTTCTATAAGTTGAGTGTTTTCTCCTAAGATTCTAGTTCCTTGTCAAAATTATCAATTTAATGACGCAAACTTCTGATTTCATCCTTAATATTTATTAATGTACAATGCTTGAAATACATTTAAGGAATCATTTGAGGATAAATAGGAGGCATTTTACTTTTTGAGATCATCCACTTCATAAAGCAGGTTGATATTTTTATCTTTAAATTATTTAGCAGCCTTATGAACAGCAAAGAATACTTTAATCAAGTGCTTTTCATAGATAGATTGTTGATCAAACTCTCTATTGAAAGCCTATTTCACTTCTTCACTCAATGCTAAAAATAACTTATTTTAATCTGTAATACCCTATGTTTAAAGGAAGCTAATTATTTGATTTCGGATGTATTCCAATGCTGTTGGCATATCCCCTGATATTGATTCTACCGTCTATAAATAGAATTCTAAATCATGCTCTTCGTTATCTAAATTCAAATTTTTAAGAATTTTTTAAGTGAGTTCTAAAGAATCTTTACCTGTGATTAGATCCATATTTTAAGCTTGAAATATTTTATTAATTTAATCTATCTTTTCCTTTAATGGCTCATCATATAATATCGCGGGGTTTTGGGGTTTTGGGGTTTTGGGG